AGACACGGGAGGAACGAACCATCGCCGTCGTCTCAGTCGACGAGCACGGAATGCTCAAACACGAACAATGGGTCAATCAGCTCGAAGCGGCAAGCATCGAGCTGACAGCAGAAGAAGTCAGGGAACTCGAAGCAGCGAGCATCGAGCCTGGGAACAACAAGTTCGCGTACTACGAGGGTACGGCGAAGAACGCAAAGACGGGGCAGATCCCAGACGACTACAAGGGGCACCCGGCGTTCACGGCAAAACATCTTGCAGGGCTACCAGACCACGGACCTTGGGATCACGAGATCAAACTCAAGGAAGGAGCCCAGTTGAAGTTTTTCAAGGTGTACCACACCAACGAGAAGCAAGACGCAGAGTTGAGGAGTTATCTCGAAAAGAATCTCGAGATAGGACACATCAGACCATCGACATCTCCAGCAGGCTACCCAGTCCTCTTCGTTCCAAAGAAAGATGGGAAGCTCAGGATGTGTGTGGACTACCGACAGTTGAACAACGAGACGGTGAAGAACCGATACCCGCTGCCACTGATTTCGAGGCTTCGAGATCAGCTGTCAGGAGCACAACACTTCACACGACTCGACCTTCCAACAGCGTACGCCCACATCCGCATCAAGGAAGGAGACGAATGGAAGACGGCTTTTCGGACACCCTACGGGCACTACGAGTACCTCGTCATGCCGTTTGGGTTGACCAACGCACCAGCGACATTTCAAGCCGCTATCGACCACGCAATACGACATTGCCTCGATAAATTTGCAGTCTGTTACCTGGATGACATTCTCATCTACTCCAAGACACTCGAAGAGCACAAAAAACACGTGCGGCAGGTGCTGGATGCACTGCACGAGCACAAGTTGTCAGTCAACAAAGACAAGAGCGAGTTTCATGTCAAAAAGACAGTATTTCTGGGTTACGAGATCTCCCCAGGATGGGTCAAGATCGAACCCGAGAAACTGGAAGCTGTCAGGACGTGGCCAACACCGACGAACGCCACAGAGGTCAGAGGATTCATCGGATTCGCCAACTTTGTCAGGATGTTCATCAAGAACTTTGGCGACATCACGAGACCCCTACACGAACTCACGAAGAAGGATGCCACATTCCAGTGGAAGCAGGAGCACGAGCAAGCTTTCCAGCGGATCCGCGATGCGATCATCGCCGACCCGGTGCTCATGCTGCCTGATCCAAGCACACCTTTCGAAGTCGAGGCTGATGCTTCGGACTTCGCGATCGGAGGACAACTTGGTCAGAGGGACAAGGACGGCAAGCTTCACCCAGTTGCGTTCTTCTCCAAGAAACTCGAAGGACCAAGGCTTAACTACCCGATCCACGACAAGGAGCTTCTCGCAATCATCGAAGCATTTCAGGAATGGAGACCATACCTCAGCGGCACGACACACGAAGTCCAGGTGTACACGGACCACAAGAACTTACGATACTTCACCACCACCAAGGTGCTGAACGGACGACAGACTCGATGGGCAGAATTTCTGTCCGAATTCAACTTCACGATCCACTACAAGAAAGGCTCAGAGAACGCACGAGCGGACGCCTTGAGTAGGAGAGCGGATCACCACGACAACACATCTGAAGTCTCACCACCATTGCTATATCAGCAGACAGACGGATCCCTACGGCACGCTTCCCAACCGACTGAAGACTACGAGATCGCAGCGCTTCAGCAGCAGTCGGAAGATCCTGAAGGCAGGCCTCTGCAACCGTTTGTAGAATGTTGTGCGACTTTCAGGGAACAAAGATTGGAACGAGACTTCCAAGGAATCATCGCGGACGACGAGCGCGATGCATGGCAAAAAGAGCCAGAATCCAAAATCGCGGGATTGCGACTTGAAGGAACGAGACTCTGGTACCACGACAAGGCCTATGTCAGGCTGGGTGACCAAAAGGAGCTCATTCGAAAGATCCACGAGTCGAGACTCGGAGGACACATGGGAATCAGCAAGACAATTGCGAAAGTCAAGCAGAACTACGACTTCCCAGGAATCAAGCAGACGGCAGAAGAGGTCCGGGCGGAATGCGACCTCTGCGGACGAAGCAAACCAGGACGACACAAGCCATATGGGCTGTTGCAACCATTGCCAGTCGCAGAACGACCATGGAATTCGGTGACGATGGACTTCATCACCAAACTACCAGTCTCCCAGGACTCAGTAACGGGAGTGGAATACGACAGCATCCTCACAATGGTGGACAGACTCACCAAGTGGAGTTACTTCCTCCCTTACAAGGAGACATGGTCAGCAGAACAACTCGCAGACGTGATCTATCGCAACATCACCTCGGTCCACGGATGGCCGGAGGAATGGATCACGGACAGAGACACGAAGTTCGCATCAAAGTTTTGGCAAGCTCTGATGACGAAGCTGGGTACGAAGAGTAAGCTTTCGACTGCTTATCACCCACAAACGGACGGACAGACGGAACGACTCAACCAGATCGTTGAACAATACCTACGGTTGTACGTCAACTTCCAGCAGGATGATTGGGTCGAGCTGTTGCCAACGGCACAACTCGCCTACAACACCACCGTCACGGAGACCACCAAGGTCACGCCATTCTTCGCGAATTACGGCTACGAAGCAGATTTGCGACAAGGGCCCGATGTTTCGGTGCCCCGAGCGGCAGTCAAAGCCGACAAAATGAGCTCGCTGCACGCGATGCTCAAGGAAGAACTCGAATTCGTACGAACACGGATGAAGAAGTTCTACGACAGGAACAGGCTCGAGGGACCTCGCCTAGAAGAGGGGGGCAAAGTTTACCTCGTTTCTCGAAATCTTCGCACGAAGCGACCAAGCAGGAAACTCGATTTTCGCAAGATCGGACCGTTCAAAATCGACAAAAAGATTTCGGAGAACAATTACGCACTCGCGTTACCCTCGACAATGCGACTACGGACCAACGTTTTCCACATCTCGCTTCTGGAACCAGCACCCAAAGGCGCACGACTCGACAAGGACGCCGAAGCAGAAGACGAAGAGGAGGAATGGGACGTTGAGGAAGTCCTAGATTCACGCATCACGAAAGGACAGTTGGAGTACTTGGTTAAGTGGCTGGACTTTGGCCCAGAAGACAATTCATGGCAACCAGCTACGAATCTCAACTGCCCCGAGAAACTTCAGGAGTTCCACCAGAGGAACCCGGATCGACCAAGGGAAGCCCCGCGGACAAGTCGACCCCGGCGAGGAAAGGGTCGTCCAGGGAGAAACTAAGACGGTCAGTACGGAACCAAGGGGAGGAGGGAACAAACGAACCCTTGTAGCCAAGGGGGTGGATCACGAGAGGAGGTGCCAATGGCCTCCCAGTCCAACACATCGACACCACCCGCCGTCTGCACCTGGCCAACCAACTGCTGTGTGGGAGACATGGGCGCAGGGGAAGGAGGGTCCTCTTCCTCTTCCAGACGCTCCATCCCACGACGAAACACTTCAACACCCCGATCCCGAAGAGACCGCTGTTGGCCGCGCAGGCGCGACAAACGGCTCAAAGCTTCGGCAAGCGTTTGCTCCACCGCCTCAATCTCTTTCGCCACCTTCTCTTGTTCAGAAAGGTTTGACAAAACTACCACGATCAGCACACACGCAAAAAAAAAAAAAACCATGTCACTTACGAGTGTCGGCCACGTTTGGCCCACTACACTTCTTACCCATCTTGACGCAGTTCGAACACTTCCTCCCATCCTCCAGCATCATGCATCGCTTTCGCGGTTTCGCATCCCAACACCGCTGGCAAGGCATGGCGACTTCGTAACCAGAACGATCAATTTCCGCGGCAAGAACTTGGCGTTCACGTTGCAGGTCGCGGCGAGCGCTACCCAGACGATTAGCCATCATGGCCAAGGGACTGCGATAAGGTCAAGGAAACATACTCACTAGCAAGGAAGTGGACGTTGGCGCGTATTTCAAGAGGAAGTGCGGCATCTCTCGGGGCGAGAGATGTTGGAGAGGGGGCATCGTGTCACGAACCAACCATATAACGGGACCGCGTGGGGCGCAGCAGGACTGCCCTCACCCAATCGGCTGGGAAGCCAAGACGCGGGGGCCCGTTGGGTAGCCCAGGGACGCTGGCTACCCGGGACAGGCGGTAGCCTTGGATCGCAGTCTACCACGAGCTACCACGGGTAGACTTGGGTAGACGGGCGACCATGAGCTACCACACACAGGACAGGTACAGAGATACCTGGGACTTAGATAGTATATAGTCACTCGTTCTGGAGAGCTCTGGGAGTTCTCCAGTTAGCAATCACAACTACAGTTCGCTACAAGCTCGAGAGCCTACTGTTGAGACAAGTCTTTGTTGTGCACCCTTTGGCTGCACCGAACCTACGCACCCTTGAGAGAATACCTTCGACCGATACTGAACCCTAACAGGACGGGTCCAGAGACAGGTTCGTCACAGAGCGGTGGCGTGCATCCGTGGGTGAGATCTCGCAAATCTCCTCACGTTCTGCGAATGGCATACACAGGAGGTCCCTGAATAAGCCTTGTCTGAGGTGGGTGAGCTGTGGCGAGTCCGGCAACTATGCGGTATTAACATCAGGGGATGGAACCAGAACAGGCTTCACAGTACCCTTACCTTCGTACTGATGCTTCAACGGGATGGGGATATTGGTGAGCCAGCAAACAGCGGGTTACCGTTCCGCGGGCGGTCGTCAATAACAAGATCCAGACGATGCACCCCCGACATCTCCATGCAAGCCACTGGTCCACGCCCAAAAGAATGGTGGCCCAAATGAACAGTCGTGGGCTTGATAATAAAGCTTTACACCCCTCAAGTCGCCGATCGAGCCGCCGTCCACAATTTACAAGCACAGCCTTCAATCCTTCAGCGTAGCGCCCCGACACTTGTTCCCCTTCCCGGCATCGGCGCGTTAGTAGGTACCTTGCTTTACCACCAACAAGGTGTTTCTTAAAATCGTCAGTTACTCTTCCGAGCCCTAAAAAGGACCTAAGTTGTTTGAGTGACCGATCTTCCGAGTCCTATATCTCCATTTCCGTTCCCACGTAGCTTGGGTCGACTGATTTCAGGAAGGGGTGGATTAACTTGGGATCAACGCCCGCCTCCAGGAACGCTCTTGCTGTGCTCTGAAGAAGCAGTCTTTCCCGTCCGCTTAGCTTGGAGCCCTCGGGCTGTCCGGACTCATCCACCCAGAGCCAAAGATTGTCCATCCACAACACACAGATATCCTCGAGAAGATCGGCGCCCTCAAATCCAGACTTGAGGAGCAGTCGGGTCATTTCGGTACGGCTGAATATCCCGTCTGACGGCTCGTCGTTAAACTTATGACTGAGACACCGCTTAGAGACCGCGTGGATGAGAATTGGCCTGCATGTTTGACACGGACAGCGGCGGTTCCGAGCCTTGGCCGCCGCGAAGTCAGGGTGCTGCCGGACAAAGTTCAACGCTCCGGCTTCAACAGCCAACATGAAGCGGGCCGAAGGGTGTCCAGGAGGGGCCGCGGGAATGATGGTGGCGTATAGCTGTTTAAGTCTCTGCATGGTCGCCGTCCACAACTGCCTTCCCGGCTGACTGAGAGCGTCGAGAAAGGGCCCGAGGTGAAAGAAGCAATTCCGAGTGTCGCCGGGCCTCTCCCGATCGGCCACCACTCCCCACCAAAGCCCTACCTCGAGATGGTCCATGGCCTGAACGTCATTTGTCTCGGACAGCGCTTGTACGGCCATGTGGATGCCATAGAGGGACAATGCCGTAGCGGCATCGAAGGCGGCATCTTGAGTCCGTAAGCAGTCCAACTTCCAGACGTCGGCGTTATTGAGAAATTCAAATACGGTGCGGTGCATGAACGACACCTTTGGGCCAATTTCCTTTCCAGCTGGGGGGGTTCTAGCAGTTTTCATCTCCAGCAAGCCACCGCAGCGACTTCTCAGTCGGCCTTCAAGTTCCTCACAAATCTCACGGTCGTCTTCGGCGGTCACGGCTTTGATCGATATCGGACCCGTGTGATAGTCGTCAACCAATGCGAGACCAAGCGCAAATAAATCCGTGCGCAAGAACGGGGAGTTTGTCTTCTGGTAAGTATGGCATATCTTGAACAGCTGCGCGCCCTGCCGCTGGTGCCGTTTTTGGACCTTGCCGAGCATGTGCCTAAACATGTCTTCGAGTTCGGGTGGGAGTTCATCGACGCGGCGACGGATCTCCGAGAGTCGATCACTGTCAGCAAAACCGCCAAGGACGGACCGACACGCGAGGATGACCCATAGAAATACACCGCACGACTTCTGCACCAGTTCACTCAAGAGCTTCTGGGAATCTTGTGGGAAACGTCTCATGTGGCTCTGCATGGACGGGTGGCCGCCGACGACCTCGTTGACATACATTTGAATATCGGTCTGCGTCAGATGGTGTAGCTGTAGACGCGGTAAAAACCGAAAAGCGTCAACACATGCTGGAACTGGCCGACTCGAGACGACAACCTTGATGTCCTCGCTCTTGGCAAGCTGCTTGACGAAGTCGACGGCATCCGCATAGTCGCCCACGAACTCGTCGAGGCCATCGATGAAGAGACAGCACCGTCCTACAATGGATGCGTGGCCAGCGATGACCTCAAGTGCGCGACGCGTCTCGGTTGCAGAGGGTAAGCCGATGCTCTCTGTCCTTTGACTCTCTAGGGACTCTTTCCACATGTTGGGGAGCGCGTGTTGGATGAGGGACGGCCTCTGCGACAGAATTTGATGCAACAAGGTTCGCGAAAGCCCGTCCTGCGTCTTCTGCTCGTCGGAACCGAGGTTGGAGACAAAGAAGTGGCATCGGACATAGCGGCCACCATTGGCCCACTGGGAAAACATGGTATCAGTGAGGCCGTGGCTGTATATGTATTTCATGAGTGTCGACTTCCCGCTCCCCGCTTTCCCCGATATCCAGTAAATGCCGGATCCATGCCGGAGCCAGGCCGGGAGGCTATCCCAGGCATCTGTACCTTTCGGTGGCTCTTCTAGCGCCCATTGGAACGTCTTTCTGTGAGCTTCGGCGATGCTGTCCTTTCGGTCGTTAATTCTTCGAAACCACAATGTGTCCAGCACGTGATCTTGGTGTGTCTTGTCGATGGCGTGTTGCGTAGACTCAGCTATGGCCCGGTGTTGGCCCTCGGATGCTTCCAGGATTATCTTCAGATGCCCCAAATTCGTCTTGATGAGCGCAAGGTCGCTGGTAATCATGGCATTGTCAGAGGCAGAGGCCGGGTCGTAGCTTGTAGCCGGGATAACCTCGCTGAGCTTCGAGATGAAATGTGCGAGGTCTTGAATCAGATGCTCAAACTTTTGCTTGTCTCGAATGACCCAGCGCGCCTTACAAAGGACCGACGCCGCCTTCTCCCGAGAGCCAGCGCGCAGTTGGAGAGCATTAAAGTCTCGGACAAATTTGTCCATCCGCGGTTGACTGATGCGCCAACGGCTTTGTTGTGTCGATGATGTCGACATGACTACAGGGGACCGATTGGATGTAGAGGGCCGATTGACGTCGATGGGCAAGGCTCGCCACAAGTCAAGTAAGTCAAGTATGAAGGCAAACTTGACTTGACTTGGCTCAGATTTGACTGGATTTGACTTACTTGAACTTACTCAAGTTGAATCAAGTCAAGTCTCCACCCCCATATATAGCCCTAACCCCCATCTACCCCCTAGATTTTTTCTGACTTACACCCATTAAAATTCACCAACTTTTTTTCAAAAATATACTTAAATCGAATGATCTTACAATCTACCGAATCGCGGTCGGTTCGGTTCAGTGGGCTGGGGAAAGTGGCGATGGGAATGTCCCTGTAAACGAACTCAATTATGGGTGGCGCAAGTCAGGGATAGGGGTTACACAGGCACAGGCTGGGGGCATATTGCAGTGCCAGCCACTTTCTGTGGCGAATAGTGGCTAACTCAATTAACTCAAGTAAACTCAAGTAAGTAGAGGGTCTTACTTACTTGACTGGGTAGCCGATTTGACTTGATTTGACTTGATTTGACTTGATTTATTCAAGTATACTTGACTTGCGGCGAGCCTTGTCGGTGGGCGGGCTGGGCAATTCCCTCGTCAACGCCTCCAAGGGTAGACCGGAAGCAACCAAGTGGGATGATGCTGGTGCGATGGGGTCCGCAGCCAGAGATGCATCATCTTCGGATCGCAGGCCATATCGCTCCTGCAAGCCCTCCGAATCCGACAAGATGGAGCCGATAGATGCAAGTATTCGGGTCAGAAGCCTCTGGGTGTTCGCATCGTCGAGCCGCTTGTCATAGTCATTGCGAAGCAGTCTGACGCGATCTGCCCGCTGTAGAAGAAGTGTTTTCTCGATGTCAAGTTTCGTGTCCAAAATCTCGTATTGGCGGCCCAGATGGCGCGTGTCAACTACGAGGGTAAAGAGGTCGATGGTGTCTTTGAATGCACCGATCAGCCCGCCGAGGCCGATGATACCGATGGCGAGCCCAGCAACCTCAGCCATCGCGCAGCAGGAGAATTGAAGGAGTAAAAGAACCTAATTGTGGCGATTCTAGCCTGAAGTCGCTCCTGCCCAACCATTCATGGTTGATGCCTGAAGCCTGGTTCGCTGCTTGTGCTTGACGAGTGCAGTGCGCCTTGCCGCCTCTGGAAGCAGGAACGAAGGTGCCGCCAAGCCCGCCATCGGCTGATAGACGTCCCCCTCAAGGTACCTACCTAGATACTAGGTAGGCTTTAAGTTCAGGTTGTATTCGAGAACCGAGTTTGTTCAACAATCGGGGAAGGTTTGACACGTGCGAGTTAACTGCCTCGAGAAGCCCTACCAGATATTGAGTATGATCCAAACCCACAGACCACACGCCGAACAAACCTACCATACCCCAAATAACCTTGCTCACGGTACGGGGAGTAAGAAGCGTGGTATTAAGACAGGAGTCAACCGTGGCCTGACCGCACTCTATCTAGGTCTACTCGGATCATAAGCGTCCCAAAAGACGCTACATCTAGAATCCACTACGGCCGGGTCAATCACGGTGATGGAAGCCCGATCTCCTTCACCACCGAGATCCCCAAGAGACGGTGTAGTAGGCGAGTACTTTGTCCATCCGGGGCCCGACGATGGATCCTTCGCAAAGTCGGCCCACGCTCCTTGTATTTTTGCACTCAGCTCTTGGTTTGCTGGAGTGCTTTGAGGATCCCCAAAAACGAAACTGATCTCGCTGCCGTGTGATGCGAGTCCACTCGGGAGAGAGGCGTTGAAAAGGTAGCGCCAGGTTGCTGGTCACTGCATTAGCATCCGTCACTTGCACCACGGGCAGATGTGAGTACTTACGTATGTCAATGGTGGCCATGATGTTGCTGTCGTATGTAGTGGTACAAGCAAAGTGGAAGTCCGAATGCAACAGCCTGACGGCGTCATCTGGAGTTTGAGCCTGCCAGCTGGACCCAACGGAATATGCGTTGACAACGGCAGCCGCTGCGGTCGGATTGTTGGGATAGATCACATCCGCCCAACCCTCCAGTGTCTTTTGTTGTAACGTTTTATCGGAGAATATGTTGCCTTCCATAAAGGTACTGCCGACGAGCACAGGCACCCTGGCAGTACGCCCTGCCCGCCGTGCCGAGTCGGTATCAGCAACACTGGTCTTGCCCCCGTCATCGACCGGCGAAAATAGAAGATTCAAGGTGAGGACGGCGGATTTGACCAACGCCATGGGTTTAGATTGGAGACACGGGACCGCATTCTCCTCGCTGCAGTTCAAGTATTTGGCTAGTGTCAGGAACGGCGCTTCCCCGGCCTTGTTTCCCGTACCCATACCCGTTACCGACACACCAACACCCAGCGCAACTCGGTTGAAAGTGTGAAGACCTCCGCTCTGCAGAATGGCGGCTCGGAACGGAGGGTGGTCGCTGAGCTCGCTTATCAGATGACTATCGGCCGAGACTGCGCCGGCCGATTCGCCGAAGATGGTCACCTTGGTCGGATCACCGCCAAAGCGAGAAATGTTTTCCTGAATCCATCTCATTGCCATTTTTTGGTCGCGGAAGCCGGGATTCAGCTCGTCCGGTGAAAGTCCGGATACATTCCCCGGGAAGCCGAAAACGCCCAGACGATAGTTGCAGGCCACAAGGATGATGTCTTGGTTGGCAGCGAAAGACGAGCCGTCGACGTCCGTGATGGAGCCGAACGACAAAGCACCACCATAGAACCACAACATAACAGCCTTTTCTGCTTTGGGCTTGCCACACCCAAGATGCGGCGCAAACACGTTCAGAAACAAGCAATCTTCACTCTCAGGGGAGCTTTCGGAGCTTGCTATTGTCTCGAGTCAGAACACAAATTCGTGCATGGAGTAACCGGAAGGGTTTCTCACATTGCTGGATACATGCCGGCGGCTGTTCTGTCGCATTCACAAATAGCGAACCCGGAGGCCGAGGACGGGCAGCCCGAAACCTCTCGGGGGTTGTTGCGTAGGGGATCCCCAGAAACTTGTCCACAGTAGCTGTGGCCGAGGCTACGTGGGTGGTGGTGCCGACATAGACAGCATCCTTTAGGGTCACAGTTGGTAATCGGGCCGCCGCAGTGCTAAGTAGAGGGATCAAGGCCCAGAAGAGGCGCAATGATCGCATGGCCGGACGTGGGGACAAACTTGCGCTAGATATCAAGTGGCAGTGACCATAAGCAAGGAATCGTGTAAAAGTCCTAGGTAAAAAAACAACTTCAAGGCCAAGTTTATAAACCCACCGAAAAGACAGTCCATTAAACAGTGTTCCTGACGAAGACCGGCAACTGGCGGCGGCAATTCTGGGTTCTCCAACTGAAATCGGCTAATAGCTATAAGCGCACCAACCATTTCCGGAATCGAGGCAGGATCGCAGAACTTGATGGCAAGGATGACTGCCCGAGCTTTATCAACTCCGAGGTTGCAAGTGCCGGGTCGATCTAGGGTGCGAGGTGAAGATGGAGGCGCGAAAATGACCACAAACTGGATAGGAAAAGAGGAAAGAAATTAAAACTACCAGTTAATACTATTAGCTTAGGTGTCGGGGACTATACTAGCTACCTAGGAACATAGATAGCAAAAACACACCGAGCAACCCTACCCGCCGGTGTAAATAGTGGCATTGGATTGTGGAGTTTACTTCGCGGCTGGGGGCCGCTTCACGGATGTTGCAAAAACAACGGACTTAAATCATGCCACAAAAGACGTTGCGATGACATTTGAACAGCCAACATGCGACGATGTCAAAGGACACATGTGAATCAAAGGAAACCCCCCCATGCCATGCAACGTGTGAGAAAGTGTTGTCCTCACGCACTTATAAAGACTTTCATTTCCACAATCCGTTCCGTCCACACCATCCTCAGCCACCCTTTGGACGGGTTAGCGCCGGCCTCCAACCATGCGTTCAAGTTTGGTCATTGTTGCGCCGCTTGCTCTGGCTATCCCGGCACTTGCCTCTGTCGCTACAAACTCAACGGTTGTTGCTACTACCCCAGTTCCCCTGTCAACTGCCAACGTAACGAACTTACCCACGCAGAGGGACGGTTGGGAATCTTACTATCGGTATGTCTGCAACCCCGGCATCAGGTTCAAAGAGAATCTCTGGGCGTGGATAGATCGTGAGAATGGCCCAACTAAACGAGAAGAGATCTTCGACTATGGGGTCCTCATAGCCGTCACCGCTCTATGCGTTATTAATCTACATGTTCCAGGGGCCAGGCCGTCAAAACGCTTCCGAGCATGCGCCGCCTTCGTGGGCCCGCTCCTGGTGGCACAGTATGTAGCCTTGTCCATCGTGCCCGAGCTTTTTGAGCCCCCCTCGGACGAATCGAGCGCGAGGAGACGCGAGATGACCAGGTTTGCGATGACGATCTGGATGACACACCACGAGTCGTGGGAACTTTCGGCGTGGCTTTACCACGGGTTGCGGTGGGTGCAGGAAGTTGGTCTGGTCTATGACTTGGTTACAGCTATGAGCATGGCGCCTCCCAGGCCGAATTTGTACGGTGTGGTTGCGGCGGGGACGAATTTAGCCCACATGCTGGGCACGGATTTGGGGTATTTGAGGAGATGGTGGGAAGCCAGGGGTTGAGGACAGACAATTTCGGTCTTAAGTAGAGTGGCTGGATGAGATAGCAGTTAGATTATACCCATGACAGTCTCCAATACACCAGGGCTATGTGCAGCATCAACCACACCTGAAAGTAGCAATAGAGTATAATATGGTATTCGTGATATGCAGCGACAAATGAAATGTAGTACAGGTGCATGGATGGTGTATAATGTTAACCTTCTTCCCTCTCTGATGCTAGTTGAAGCAAAATTAGAGTTCCTCCTTCTCGGTGCTCTCGGTCTCTTCGACCTTCTCGGCCTTTTCAACCTTCTCAGCCTCCTCGACGTTCTCGGCCTGCTCAGTCTCCAAAGTCTCACCCTCGTTCAGCTGCAGCACCTGCGCCTGGATCTGGAACTCAATCTCCCGCTTGCCCTGGGCCCGCTTGGGGAAGCTGTGGTGGATCGGGTACGCAATGACGCCGCCGTCGACGAGCTTGGAGCTGTACTTGGAGAGGTCGAGAAGCGGCCCTGCACGATCCCGGTACGTTAGCAACAATCTAACACCCACGAGACCAACCTAAACGAAAAAGAAACAAGTCATCACTCACCCTCACACTTGCTCCCCTCCACCACCCACAACGGCAGCACCTCATACAGCGCGCCAGGCGCAAACAACGCCACCCGGATCTCATCCCTCGCGCGCCACTCCTCCGTCACGGGCGTCTCCTTCGGCACCTTAATCGTATGCAACACCCTGGTCCCCGGCAAAGGGCGCTGATAGACCGCGAACAACCCCTTGCCCGGGCCATCCGTACGCTCCTGGTCCTCGATCCACTCGCGCACGCGCAGGGGGACATCATTATAATCCATGGTCAGCAGATCGCGATCGTAGCCGTGGGGGTCGATGCCGTCCCAGCTGCCGGGGTACTCGCGCGCGGCAAAGACGTCCTTGAGCGCGTCGCGGTACTCGAGCAGGCCCTTGGGCGCCTTGGCGGCCAGGTCGTCGAGCATGAATTCCTGGGCGCGGAAGGTGCGCAGCACGTCGCAGGCGGGCGTGAATTTGGCGAGCTCGGCGGACTTGAAGGGGTTGGGCCACGGCCAGTTGGCCATCCGCTCGGGCTTGCCTCTGAGTCGCGGCGGTTGGTCCGGCGTGGCGGGGCCGATGGCTGTGGTGGTGGCTGCTAGCCAGGCGGCGGCGAGGAGGGCTTCGAACTTCATGGTCGTGGTGGTTGTGGTGGTGGTGGTGGGTATCACAGGGTTGAGGGTGGGTTGTGGGGGTGGAGGAAGAGAAGCCGGAGGATCAACAAACTCGGCGGAGTCTCTCGGTTTGGACCTGGGGTTCAGCAAGGTCCGTCAACAACAACCAAGTCACCAACGGTCGAGAAAGAAATTCGCAAATAATTCTAGGAGGAAAGCATTCGGCAATTGAACGTATCCTCCATAAAATTGGCCATGGTTCCCAGTAAATAGGCCGTCAATGCGTCTGAACTACGTAAAAGTGTCGTGTTGTCCTCCGGAACGGCCTTCCCGAGATGCCAGATTCGAGCAGGTCCGGCAAGGGTCTAGATGGGGAATATGGAGACGGGCCCGAACCCGCGCAGATTCCCCGCATTGTCTGTGTGGGGAAGTGCTTGGCTTGCTGCTTTGGGCAAAGTTGGAGTTCTTGTGTCGTAACCCGTCCGGGGGTCGGGGGGTTGGGGTTGCTGAGCCAAGATCGACTCCAAGAAGGCATTACCGTGTTGAGATTGTGTTCCGACCATTAAACCACACTGTGAATGGATTTATCTCTACACCGTTCTCTCCAATGCACACGTCCTTCTCCGTGAGATCAGGGTTCAAAGGGGCAGAATCCAGCAGTGAGGACCTTTTTATGGCCGTCAATCAACACCAAGGTAAGGGAAAGGAAGCCCATTATGGTAGTGGACTGGAGAGTTCATCTGGAGTTGGAGGTGAGGGTTCATTTTGTGGGTTGACTTAGGTGTGGCGGTTATCTACCTACCTTACCGTGTACATTCTGGGGACACTCGTCGTAAGAGTTGAGCATCGAACGAGGTTTGGTACAGTAGGCAACATTGCCAGATTCAAGTCAATTCTTCACTGGTTACATGTATCAATATGTATCAAGAAATCAAATAGTCATGTCTTGACGTCTATCCCTTCTCTACAAGTAGTAATTACAACCAGCCGAAGCCTTCCCTTACTGGGAGCACGACTTGCCCTTGCCCTTGCCGCCGCCGTTCTTGCCCTTGCCCTTGCCCTCGGACGACTCAGTCTCGTAGGTGGAGTCAATCTCACCCCAGCGCATGTTGCTGAAGGTGACCTCCGGCTCGGGCTCGACCTTGACAATGTTGGAGGGGTTGCCCTCGTCCAGGGAGCAGGGGCCGGCCTCACCAGCGTCGAGCCAGTTCATGTTGCCGCCCTCGTCCCACCAGATGCTGAGCGCGAGAACCATGCCGCGGGTGAGAGCCTCGCCCATGCCCTGCATGGCGCCGAGGCGCATGAAGCCGTCGGAGCCGGTGGCCTCGCAGAACTCGTCGGTCATGCTGTCGGTGGAGGGCAGGCCGGGGGCGTCGACGACGTACGACTCGATGACGCGGCCGTCCTGGACGTAGAGGCGGTGGATGGCCTCGAGCTTGCCCTTGCGGTTGGCGGGGAACTGCGTCACCACGGTGAAGGGCCGCGACGAGTCGACCTTGAAGGCGTCGCTGGCGCCGTAGTAGTCCGTCACGTTGACCCGGTACGGGTTCCACGCGCACCCGGCCTTGTCGCACACCCCCTCCTCCTCGCAGTCGACGCCCTCGCACAGGTAGGGGCCCTTCTTGTTGCAAGGGTGGGGGGCGATGTGGTTGGCCCGCTTGTTGGCCTCCCAGATGTCCATCTCGTTGCAGCACGCGCCCTTGCCGTCGACGTTGCCCTGGTTGCCAGAGTTAGCTTGTTTTCATTCTTCTCCCGTTGGCCTATCATAAAAGGGCAATCCAAAACTTACGATGCCGTTGATGAAGGGCGTGATGTAGCACTGCGCATCGCAGTACCCGGTGCCGAAGTAGGCGCCGCCGGGGTTGAGGTCGCTCTGGGCGCCATCGGCCTTCATCTCAGAGAGGTAGAGGGCGCTGTTCATGCCGCAGGGCAGCTTGGTCGAGTCCACGTCAAAGGTGAACTCGTTGCCGGTGAGCGAGAGCATCTCGTAGTTCTTCTTGGCCTCGTCGAGGAGGTAGACGCGAGGGGTGACGAGCTTGCCGTCGAGCAGCTGCTGGAGGCGGAGGTTGGTGCCGTCGGTGGTCACACCGTACTGGCTGTAGTCGTCGACGGGCTCCATGATGCAGTTCTTGGCGCACGACTCCTGGTCCGGGCAGGCGGTGGCGTTGGGCTTCTGGCCCCACTCGCCGCAGCCGTGCTCGTTGGTGGCCTGGTGGACGGGGTGGGAGAGCGAGTCCAGGACGATGTAGTTGGTCTTCTCCGTGCACCCGCCCGCCTTGGTGCAGCGGTAGGTGGTGATCTTGGGGTGGACCTCCTCGCCCTCACCGGGCAGCTGGCCGTTGGCCGCTCCGAGGAGGAGCGAGGCCAGACCGAGGAAAGCAGCGCCGCGAGCCATTGTGTCGAGTCTTGAAAAGCACGGGTCGGTAAAACTCGTGATGGGAAAGGTCAAGCAAGGGTGGACTGGGGAGAGCAGGAGGAGAGGTCTGATGGACGAGGGAGGGCGCCATCTCATATACTCCCACGATTACCTCTCTTCCACCCCGTCGGTTCGCCCTCCCCGCGTCCCCGGGACCACGATCTTGGATGCTCCGCACGGAATGGACCCCCGTCGGTGTCATTGCTGACCGTCATTGGAGCGCCTTATCCCTTTCGGTGCTGGTTCGGCGCGCGTTGGGATAAACAAGGCGGAAAACGGGCAGCGGGGCCGCGTTTCCGCCGCATGAGGACCTGCAAGGGACAGGACCAAGATCGATCTCGGTTGCCATGCGGCAGCGGAGGGACGGTTTAGCGTTGGTTGACCGTTCGTTCAGCGTTGCAACCTGGTGGTCCGCCAAGGCGGCCAAGCCGGTTCACGGAAATTGACGAGCCGAATTCCCAGGTCTGGAATGGGGTTCGGGGATTGCGGGGAAGAAGTGGAGGAAGAAGTGGAGGAAGAAGTGGAGGAAGAAGGGCTCCAGAAGGGCGAGCAGGTTCTCGACTCCGCCCCCAACTCTTCTGTGCTGTTCTGCGGCTGGTGATGAAAGGGGCTCTCGCCTCTGCGGGGGAAGGGGTTCGGGATGCACGTTCAGGGGTTCACGAACCTGACTGGACTCCAACTGCAAGCGTGAGGCCATGAAACCATGATTACAAGACACTTACCTAGCCGCGCGATTAATAACAATGTAGAAATGATCAGCCGGCCGAGCCCAAGATGCGCGCAGGTCAAGCCCTTGGCGCCCGTGAACGGTGCGGTTTCGTTATTGTGTATATAGTACCCCCACAAGAAAAGAGCAGATCACGGCCGTGGCAAGTGTTTCCCCGTCTTTCCATACGGCATTACAGAAATGGGCGAGGGCTCACACCACCATACATTATACACTACCTTGATATCCCCACATACTCACCGAGGTCACCAACATACTCGGATGCTTTTAGTTATGCACCTACACGGGAGCAGCGAGACTTGGCTGCGTCAACCCGTTCTCGGGTCTTGACGGCTGGTCTAGCCGGTTAGGAAGTCGGGTTGCAAGAAGACTTCTAACTATGAGCAGTCACCCACGTATTCCTTAGTTTTAAAAACCAAGAGCCTCATCTCCCTTGCGCTGCCAACCAAATACGCTCGGCACCCGACCTGAGAGTGCCTCCCGAACCATCAAACAGGGTCCTTCCCCCCAACACCCTCACCACTTTCAGCATCGGGTTGTTTCGGCCTCGCTTGCCGGTCGATCCACCACGTCTTCGGTCCCTGTATCCACTTTCTCCGTGCCTTTACGGTGCTGCCCTCATTATTTGGAATGGCCTCCTCCTTCACCGCCGCTTCCTGGCCCGGCTTCTGCTCGGGCGCGCTGCCGTTGTCATCGTTCGGGGTGGCTTGCACGGCCGCTCCCTGATTTGATCGCGCCGTTGGATTACTTCCATGATCGACGGGTCGAACGATATACCGGCGCCAAAACGCCCTCACGGACGCCCTGCGCTTCGCTCGCGACTCGTGGTCAAGGTTGAATGCCACAAGGACTGATGGGACGATGAGGATGACAGAAACCGCAACTAATAGCCGCCCGAGAGCGCCACCGGTCAGTTAAGTTGGTCTAGACAGCAACCTGCGCCGAGTAACCTAAAGCGGTGTCTCAACACGATACCAGGGATTATACCGAGGGGGGACGCACAAATAACCTGGAGCACAAAATCAATTGAAAGCTTGCCATCATCCCCACGGGGGAATTGTTTGACCTCGATAGTCAGAAATGAAGACATGAATGACAATGGAAGCTGGGAAACGAGTCAGCAAGTGTTGTCAAGTGAGGCCTAACAAGGGGTGTTCAGACAAAGATAATAGTTGCCACGGTGAAGTATAGGACCGTCTTCCCCTGCTTGTCGGTCCCTTGTGTCAGCTTGAGATTTGCCTGCTTGTTTTTCAAGTCCAACAGCTGCTGGATCTAAAGGGGGAAATGTCGGATTCGTTAGCACTCCCTCGCGCGGTTATTGAAGACACGGACTAGGATTAAGAAGTTGATAGGGAGGATGGTGGCTCACCGCTCGAGAAGCTCTTTCCGCGAATAGGTCTAGGCGATCCACCTCACGGATGTTCCGGTCGACAACCGTCAGCATTCGTGACTGATACATCCGATGGTCATTGATGGCTTCCAAGCTGTAGTCAGAATTGCCATTTAAAGTGGCCGCTCTGTGGAGCAAGTCCGAATTCATCCGCCTCGGCCGCCCTGTCGTGTCGTTTCGCTTGTCCTTTTGCTCCCGCAGCATGTGTTCCATGGCCTTCATGACCTCATTCTGGGTATGGAAGACCGATGACATGATGTTGAGCTCGTCACGGATGTCTTTGATTTCTCGGAGGTCCTTGATGTCGTTTGCAATTTCCAGCAAGCACTCTAACTCCGGATTTTTCGGCGTCTCCTGATCTTGGTGGGAGACCGGCCTAGCCAACGCCGCACTAGCTGGGTTGATGTAGTGCTGAAAAGCCCTAAAGCGACCAATCTCTCTCTCGGTCTGAGAACATGGCAGTCAGTTAGAACCGAATTATCACGGCCCATCGCAAAATACTAAGCTGGGGCGCATGGATTACTCACGATCCCACCCATGGAGGTGGTATAAATTTCCGAGAATTGGAGTGATTCGTCCCTGTTGCTCATTGTATCAAAGTAGATTCGCGAGCACTCGGCAGCTATCACTTTAGCTAGACCGTCAACGGTCCTTTCTGGCGTCTCCTGAAACTGGGCGATGATGTTGGACACCAGGGCCGTCATGTTCTTGAACCCACCAGATCTCATCCTATTAGACCGTTGTGGAAAGGCTGTGATGATTGTAGGGGGTAATTTCCCGCAGCGTGGTAGCACCCACATCCAAAGTTGATCCACCATGGTGAGGACTGGTGTCGGGTTGTTGGCCTGTTTCGGATCGGTCGACTTCAGGTGATCGTTGTGATATCTGATGCCGGTCTGGTCGTTGTCACGTTCTTCTGTATTTGGCAGTGTGTGGTAGTAGTATTGGTCGAGGGTTCGCCGGACATGTAGCGGGTGCTCTTCGTCGAGGTAGACCCAGTGGAGCTTCTCTGTTCCCTTCGGATCCTTCAGGGATGGGTCCGCGAGAATGAGATCTCGTTTAGCTTTCCTCTCTTCTTTCTTCAAATTCATGATCTCTTTCATGTTCCGTTGCTGGTTCTGGGGTTCCCAATGTAGATACGGCATCTACGCCCAACTGTCAGAGCACTGCGCTTCTGCCTTGTGTGACAAGAGTGAGTCAAGTTAAAACATCCGATACACTCACAAACAAAACCAAGCCTTGGCTTGACGAGGTGCCCTTGTCCTCGACAACTTTACTTTCCTTGATATCGCGCTCTTTACGACCCGTTTCGCCTTCGCTTGCGTCTTGTCCCCGTGGTTTCAATTTGCTCGATTGGGGCTGCGACTGACCCTTGCCCTCCGCGTTCCGTTCTTCTTGGGGCGGTTGTGCACTTTTCAATCCGTCTCGCTCTCGTTCCGGTTCGCTCTCCTTCGGCTTCTCGTTCACGTTCTCCTTGGGCTTCTCGTTCATAGACTTACTTACCGTTCCCGATCGTCCCGCTGCATATTGGACTTCTATCAGCAACTCCCCACGGCGTTGGGTGTCAAATGGGAGTTACATGTAAGTATAGCAAAGAAAACGTACCAAGAACGAAACGGTGGCATGCCGGTCGCATGAACCTCGCGTAATGGGCGCCCCTCCGGGATTTGTGTTGTTGTTGTTCCCAAAGCTTGGATTGAAGCACGACACTGGCATTCCAACGTTCGCTCTCGCCGCAAGCCTCGTAATGTCTGGTCATCAACACCTAAGGGGTTTCAGCACGGCATTCAACAAGCCGTGTGTCACGTTAACGTACCTCGACCCATCGCATCTAATCGTTTTGATCAATTCCGTTCATGTTAGCAAGCCCTTGGTATAAATGACTAGTAGGAGTAAGATAGGTACCGACATTGTTGGCAGGGAGGTGCATCCACGCGCAGCTCGCCCCCTGGGGATCGGGAAGCCCTTCCCCTCGGAGGAGAGAGTGGACGGAAAGCTGTGTCCTTGATTCGAGCTCAAGTTTCTCGTTTTCCGGGACCCGCAAGATGGTCGCTTTGAACTCTTCATCCAAATCAGCTGCGCCATCCAAAGGTTTGGACAATAGAGCCTGGGCCGATCTCAGCTGCTCCAGCATCGCATCCAATGCCGCCATCACCTCAGGTTCGACCCCCCCCGCGCTCTTTTTGTTAACAAGAATTTCATGCAGAGCCTTTCCGCTTTTGTCCATGACGCCCGGGTCTGCCCCGTTAGCGCGCAGCGTCTTGAAAACCGTCAGATGGTGCCCTATGGCCGCATACCAGAGGGGTGTTCGCTCTTCCACGTCTCGAGAATCCACCGCCACAGCCGCGCCGCCATTGTCAGGACCCGTCCGCCCAGTGCTGTCCTTGTTTCCGTCACCCAGCCTGTCCTTTGCACCTGCGCCGCCGTCCCTGGCACCTATTCCCCCATGCCCTTTCTTGCTTCTGTTGACGACACCCTCGCTCGTCTTCGTCTTGCCATCACGAAGGGACAGCAAAAGGTTAACAACTTCAACGTGGCCCTTTTCAGCAGCCAGCGAAAGCGGCGTTCTCCGGTTCTTGTTCGGGCTGTCCGGGTGCGCCCCGCGGTCCACTAGCATTCGCACACATTTGTCGTGACCCTGAACGGCTGCTCTGGAAAGCGGGGTCCGTCCAAACTCGTCCGCAGTGTCAACGGCAACTTGTTCGTGTAGCAACCACTTGACTACCTTGCGGTTTCCGCCCTCTGCTGCCCAGTGGAGAGACGTACGGCCGATGTTATCCTTCGAGTTGAAGTCGAGCCGCTTCGCACGTAGCATATCCATCTCCTTGGGACTTCCGCCCTGAGCCGCCCACGAAGCCAGGTTCCTGCCGTCATGGTCCACGGCTTCGAGATACTCCTTCTGGTCCAGGATGAAGCTCGAAACGGGGTGATGGGTCTCATCCCCGCCGTGTAAAGAGGATGTACCGGAGGATGTGTCATCAGAAGACAGGTCCGGTGTGTCTGAGAATGTGTCGTCATCGAGATTACAGGAATACCGTAAAGCCAATTCTATCACGCGCACCCGAGGTATTTTCTCGCCTCCATCCCTCATTGTATCCCTTGGCTGTTGGATGAAAGCTCGGAGTATTTCCAAGTTATCTAAAGCAAAAGATACCGGTGTGTTTCCGTGGGATTCAGCGTAGAGATCTGCCTCAGCCTTGATCAAATCCGTGACGGCCTCCAGATAATTGCCCTCGGCGGCCCAGGAGAGGGGAGACTGTCCCCAACGATCGTCGACAATACTGAGGTCAGCTCCGGCCTCAATCAGAGCGCGTACGCCCGCGGCATTTCCCCTTGATGCCGCAAAGGTCATGGCTGTATATCCGCGCCAGCCTCGGACGTTGACGTCGTGACGATCAAGTTCTCTGCAGAGTCGCTCCACGACTTGACCGTGGCCATTTTCTGCAGCCCACATGAGTGCCGTCTCCTTGTATTCGTCGTCCGACAACTTGGGGTTGGCATGATGTTGAAGCAGAGCGTCGACAATCGCAAGATGACCGCCCATCGAAGCCCAAATGAGCGGAGTACGGCCTTGGGCATCCTGGGCGTTCACCATACCGGCGTCGGACGGCAGCGCCAACATCCGTTGGACGGCTTTCTCAATGCCGTGCTGCGCAGCGAAGTGGAGCGCGGTTGAGGTGCGATCGCCTTCCTCTGGCGCTGCGCGGTGAGGGTGGGTGTCAAGAAACTCGTTCCATTCCTCGTCCTCCCCCTTCTCGGCGAACGCAAAAGCGATGGCCTCATCGTTGGGCAGCTCACTTATCTTGCGGGGCTTAGCGCAGGCTTCCGTCAATAGGGCCCGTATGACTTCAGTATGACCCTCCTTCGCAGCCCAGTAGAAGGCGGTGCGTTGATCCTCGTTCTTCCGGAGTGGATCCGCCCCAGCTTTCAACAGAACGACAACATTGTCGAAGCGGCCATTTTGGGAGGCGGCCATGAGCGGTGTCGTCCCATCGCTGTCGACCTGATCAGGCTCTCCCCCCACAAAACGATTCACATCCTCGACCGAGCCACGTTGGGCGGCCACAAAGAGAAGGCCTCGGCCCTTATAATACCGATGGGACGCGTCCTGCTGTCGGGTAAGAAAAAAAGAAACCACGTCTGTTCGGGAATTCCGAACAGCCCAATCCGTCGGATACCAGCCGTTCCGGTCAGCAATCAGAAGGCTAGCCCCGCGCTCGTAGAGAGTCTTGACCACGTCCAAGTGGCCCCTCTCTGCGGCCCAAGATATCGGCGTTTGCCCATAGTCCCCGTCAGTTGCGTCGATATCGGCTCCCTCCTGCAGCAGTCTCTCGACATCGCCCAGTCTATTATCTCTAGCGGCTACGATAAGGTCGCTTGCCATTTGTACGTGTGGTTCGGTTGAGCTAGACTGTAGCTTGCGTTAATGTGATATTAGGGATGAAGTGGGTGGTGTACAATATCAATATGTGCTGAGATAGACTTGTGACGTGGTGGATGGGCAGGAAAGGAGCACAAGAGCAACAAGGCCGCCGGTCTTTGGAAGAGGTTGCATCAAGGGACAGAATCGGACATGCAAATGGAGGTTCCTCGACATCCCGCTCAACCCCCATTCGAGGTACACGACCTGGACGGAGGTGCAGGCGTGCCCAATGATAATTCCCCGGGCATGGGTAGAAGGCCCGACTGGCGCCAGGCTGGGTGCCCGCGGAAGACTGTTTTCAGCTGTGATAGCTGCGAGTCCATGCAGCACTTTGACCTACCACTGCAACTCCCGGTGTCGCACAGCATGGTACGATGCTAATAATGTACCCGTGTATGGTTAATCGGTTTTCAGCTTTGCACTTTTCGGGCGCCATTTCTCCACCATACCAAGGTAGCGAGGTGCCTTATGAGGAGCAAGTCCGCGGCAGTCGAGTTCCTGGGGGCATTGTCCAAAATAGGGACCTCCCCACCTAAACCGACATACATAGGTACCTCACCTACCAGGTAGCAATAGTTAATCTCTCCCACCAAACACCATACCCCACGGGCCACCTAATGATTCGGTGTAGTCAAAGTTGGTAGTCGACGTAATGCTCTCTTGCTCATTGCAAATCTGAACCTTGGCCTCCCAAATAAGTACATGTAACAGCCACGCCACCGAGCAACATCAAGGCTTCCCCCATCCTCGGATACCATGAACTCGGCCGCCATCAGTACTCGCCCCGGTCTTCTCAACCAGTTCTCAGGCCCCCATCACCGGCTGTGACGCATCGCCACTTTGCTTAGAGCGATCGAGATCCTGTCCATTGTGGCCAACCCGCCTCTCGTTCCCGCCCTTGGTTCTCCCAATGCCGATCATCTGGCCCATTTCTTTCCAGAAGCCGGCCGGGGGATCGATAAAGGTGGCCTCGTAAGCGTCGATGACCGGGCGCTCCCAGACGAGATCGGCTTCGTGCGGCTTGACGAACTTGGTTCCCTTGAAAAACTTCCAGAAGATAAAGAGCGGCGGGATGAAGAGCTGCATCGTGTAGCTCGAGAAGAAGGTCGAGACCGACCAGGGCTTGAAGGACGGGTACCCGTACAGGAGGGCCACGGCGAGCATCCAGGCGAGCCCGAGGTAGGCGCAGTACGGTTGGAACCAGCCGAAGTAGGAGAACTGTCGGCGGTCGATGCCCTGGGCCTTGCAGGCGCGGTAGTAGAAGATGAAGGTTGTGGTCATGACGATGTAGTTGATTAGTCCTGGGTTTTGGTGGTATTGTGTCAGCAACATTCCTCTAGCATCGATAGGCAAAAGGGGGTGGGGGTGCAAGAGCGGGTGTAAATATACCTCCACCTGTGATAAGACTGGCAAACCAAGTGATGACGACCGACGAGTTGCTCGAAACCTGCATGAACGACAGCAGCGGGAAGATCATGACGACGAAGAAGCAATAAATCGGTACACCCTTCTTGTTTGTGTAGGTGAGGAACCTCGGGGCTCTCCCCTCAAGCGCGAGCGAATAGAGGGTACGAATGGCGCAGTAGGTGTATGTGTTGCCGGCGGAAAATATGGAGGTCAACAGAAGACTAAAAGAAGCGTTAGCATCGAACTTGACTTGTCTACCGGACGCGGTGATTTCATGTCGTGTCGTGTTACTAACGCGTTGACAATGTGAGGGAAAACGGAAACGCCGAGGTTCCCCATGGCGATCACATAGGGTGAAGCCGATGCAGTGGCGCCGGAGGTGTTGCCGAGTACGACATCCGCTAGAGCCGGATCCCTTGGAGAGCAAGAGATGCCGACAGCTAGCGCGCCGCCGACGAAAAAAAGACAGAACCGAAAGTAAACCGTCTTGAAGGCGCTCTTGATGTAGACTCGGGGCCGCATTGCTTCAGCCGATACCATGGAGATATACTCGGGTCCCACGACGGTGAAACATGCTGACCACAGGGCTCCCAAGAAGCCTTCGAAGCGACCTAGGGTGCCTTGGCTCAAATACTCCATGAAGGCCCCGGGTCTCTGCCAGTTGACGAAACCGTAGACATCATTTTGAGGGTTCCCGCCCACCATAGTGATGAAGGTGAACAAGAACAAGGCGAAGATCAAAATGACCTTTCCGCCCGAGAGCCAGAATTCGGATTCACCATACGCTCTCACAGCCAGAATGTTGATGGCGCTATTCACACGACAAGTTTTAGCATTCACACTTCACCGGCAGGGAGGGGCTGCATTGAGTTGCATAGGGTAAAAACGGCCCGGGGGTGAATCCCGCTCGGGCTACGTCCTTGAGGTTCTTACGCATAGCAGATGATGATGGCCGCGCAGATACCAGCGACTGGGCCAGGCTCAGTCACCGTAGGGCTCCAAAAGGACAACACCAGGGTAAAGGCCGAGATCTCAAAAGGAATCAGCAAAGCTTCATAGAAACTACATTTGGTGCCACAGTGTTAGCTCTGCCTAGGTACAAATTCCGCATCGATGGTGATGCGGGCGGGTTGGGTGTCAAGAGGGAGGTGCACAAGAAGTTCCAGCCGACCATGAAGCCGAGCGCTTCGTCTACCCATTTACCGGCCAGGCGGATGAAGCCGCCGCTGACGGGGTACGCGGTGCTCATCTCGGCGATGCAGTTGTTGACCATGGCAAGGAAGATGGACTGGATCGAGTAGGCGAGGAGCAAGCTGCCGGGCCCGCCATTGTACAGACCGGTGCCGATGCTCACAAAGAGGGCCGTCCCGATGGAGCCTCCGATGGCGATGAGCTGGATCTGGCGGTTGTTCAGGTGCCGTTGGAGGTTGTCGCTGTTCCCGGTCACGATGCCCTCCTGGACGTCCGAGTCCTCGGTGTAGTTCGGCGCACTAGCCGCCTTCTCCCCGTCTTTGTCCTTACTGAAGGACAGCATGTTGGGGGGTCCCTGTGGAATGTCGGTCGTCGTGGAATACGTATGTCGTGGGATACGTAGGTATTCTGTGGGGGATACCGGCGAGAATAGGGGTACCGAAATCAATCATTCACTGCGGACACGCGACGAGGCTGCCAGAGTACGATGAATTGACGACAATGGGTCGTGACATGAGGGTCGGAGTTGCAGCTAGCTGCGTCGTTGTAATCTCAGCTTTACACCGCACTACGTTACAGTAGCAACTATGGCGAAAATAGACCAGAAAGTTCAATGTTTCTCGAAGGAAAGTGGAAAAGAAAGGGATTCTGCGTGTCTTTTTATCTGAGGATTCCACTGGGCAGGCACATGTGCAGTTGAGCGAAAAGTGTGAACAAGCGACATCCCTGGTTGCAGGATCAATCCCAGTTCTTGGCGGCACACAAATACCAAATGTTACCTGGCGGGATGCATGCTGTGAATGGAGCGACCTGAAGAGATTTACGCCTTGGTAAGAGGAGAATTTGGCCGAAGGGACTTGTGCTGACAAGACGCCTCGGTGTGCTGGGAAGGACTACTCGGCTAAGACGGCAAAAAATCACCAAATGTAGGAAGGGATCTTCCCTTTTGTCACTCCAACCGACTCCAACTGATGTCATTTTGCAGCGCCAAGGGGGGCAACGTAACATGATGGGTGTTGTGGAACCCCAGGTGGGACCACCCACATACATACATGTACACCCACTCACCCACATAACTACAGGTACCTGGGGGAGAGAGGGGGAGTGCGGCACGGGGGGCGGGCACTGGCGGGGTGCTGGCTGTCGCGTGGGCTCGTGGGGTAGCGTTGTGGATTGTGGATGCGCTCTCCATGGAGTGTCCCAGGATGGCCCGAGGAAGGCCAGGCACGCCAGGGGCTGAGCCTTTCTTTCCAGCTGGACTGCAGGGCGGTCGGCTTGACTCGGTTGAGGGCCAACTCGGCGCCGCAGGGGAGGGTGGCGACGCCGATTTCGTCGCCGGGGAGGGAGTTGATGATGGTGGTGTTGATGGCGGCGCTGTGGCGGACGACGGCGCGCTCGATGCTTTTGGAGAAAGAAGGCGACGCGGGTGGTGGTTTTATAGGAGGATGTGGTGTGAGTGAAAGAAATAATCAGCAACCCCATCAAACGATTGAGTTCGGCGGGTGAATCTTGGGGAGTGACGGTCTGACGGGTGGACAGGAGCGATATTTCGCCGCCCGCACATGAAAGGACAGGGATGAAGAGGGAGGGACTGACGGCAGACGACCTGCAATTTCAACAGCGCCCGGGCAAGGATTCGCTCGCATGGCGAGCTCAGAAATGTGACTCGGGAATCTGGCAGCCGTCCCATGGTCCAGCGACGTTGCACCACTGTGATGGGACCGACACCACATATTCTCCCGAGAAGTGACCACCGACTAGTTCCGAGGTCACAACCACGGCCCCATCCTCGCCAACAATCTTGGCCATGCCGGGGTTCGGAAAAGTCAACTCGAGGATGTGCTCAAATACAACCTGGAAGTCCGAGGCGGCGCGGTGAATTTGCTGCATCTGTCGGCACAAAGCCCTATGTGGGGCCCAACGGGCAATCTAGCATTTCTTGTTGCAGGGCTGTGACCAAAGTAATTAATGCGGCCGTCGGTTCAAAGTTCGTAGCGGGAGCAGAACAGGTAGGTGCTGGTATCCTGTTTGTTGCACCCGGTATGTACAACATTTGGCGGCGGCGTGGCCATGGAGCACAGCATGAGAAACATGTCCCGCCGCCATCGGTAGGCTCCTAGGCTGTCGCTGCAAACCTAGCGAAGGGGGACAAAGCATCGTCGTTGGATAGGTACTCACACTATCCAATCCCAAAAGCGAAGCCGTTCGAGGTACGCTTTGGTCGCCGGCCTGGAGATGTGCGCCAAGCTAATTCGCTAAGGTGCCGAGTCAAGGAGACGTTGGAACGCAAACGGGTCGAGTACGGGGCGTCTTTACAGTGTTCGAGCACGTAGTTGATATCTTGGTCTGTCAACTGGCGCCCCGAGGTTGCGTCGACGAGCCGGCGCATGTATGGTATTGGTCATCCGTGGGCTTCCATGGTTTTGGCTTTGGCTAGGCGACGAAAATACTTGTTGCGATGTAGGTACCTAGACATTAGAAGTAGCTTTCGACTGGGTTGTCGAGGAGAGGTCGCAATTCCATAGCTTGGTGTAAATAATGAGACGATCGACTGCCAGGACGTGGTAATAAACAAAAGTTTTGCCCGCTGATCTTGTCGTGTAGGAAGGATTCGTTGAGATTCTTGAAATCGTCAGTTTCCAGCCGCGTAGAAGGTAAGGTGGGCAAGTGGTAATGGGCTGTAGGCATCTAGTCTTAAGAAAAGATGAGTTTGCGGGAATGAATGGTCGATGAGCGGAAACCAGACTCGAAATCAAATTACCCACCCATCAGCAGCACCGGGTCTAGCTAAGACGCAAACATGGGCACATCGGCCACCCCCGATCCACCGACAGTCTCGCCCAATTTAACCAAGGTATACTCATATACCTGCGCCGCATCCATGTAGTCGGCCTCCACGTCACGCTCATTATCATCGCCATCATCATTATCAACCCCGCTCTCACCTTCGTCATCGCCCGCCTCCCCTCGCTCCATCTTGGCCAGAACAGCAATGACGACTGTCCTGGCGTTCAGCGCCGTGCTCCTGCAGCGGACCATGTCGGTCGGGCTCATGCCGCTGCGCAGGCCGTTCTCGAACCCCGGCAGGGGCTCGTGGGTGACGATGTCCTCGCCCGAGAGCAGGCTGGCGAAGCAGTGGTCCAGTTTCCGCAGAAGCGGGAAGATGTGGTCGGGCGATGGCGGGAAGCCGAGCATCCATGTGTTGAACTCGCTGGCGATGCTGAGGAGCGAGGGTATTTGAAGACTTGCTAATCAAGGAATAGCTCGTTAACACCATTGGCGATCATCTCGATCACCTGTATCCAGTCTACGATGGGACAGTGGGACACTCACGAGTACCGGACCTCCAGATGAGATGGATCACCGGATCAAGGTCTCTACACAAGCCGTCTATCGATTTATAGCCCTCGTCGTCTCCCGGCTGATACCCCGGGTCGTTGTCGCTTCTAGCTGCCCCGGCACGTTTTACGAACCAACGGTTGATGTCGGCCATGGTGTCTGAGATGAAGTTCCGCGCGAGGTTTTCTTTCGCCGACCCAGGGCGGAAAGGGCGCGAGCGTGGATGTGGCAAATCGGGACGTTGTGGCCTGTCCCACGCCGCGGATGTTGCGGGAGGTGATGTCGCCGGCGCCGGGGAGGGCGAGGGGGTAAGTGTCATTTGTTCAACCATTGCTAAAACTGGGTCTGGGTATTAGGAGAAGAATGGGTATAAACAACTGGCTTATCAGCGTTGAGAGCACGCCGTCTGCACAACTGTGGAAAACGTGAAAATGAATGGGAAAGGGGCAGGTATTATATATTCTGATTATTCACTCCAGGCTGATGAAGCCCGCCGAGTTAGAAGGTTACGCAACGGCATGGAATGCGTTGGTAGGACAGATAATGAGAACACCGAGCGCTGCTTCAGAGAGCGTTGTCGAGGGTTTGCGAGTCGAAAGGGCAGTCGTGGTGGGGTGATGTCACCAGCACACGTGATTGAGCAGGTGTTTGCATTGTGGGCGGTTCAAGTTGCCGACCGAGGCTTGAGGTGCAAACTGGAAAAAAGACAATTGACTGCGTTGAACTGACTGCAAAACAATTGACTGCATCAAACTGACTGCAAAAACAATCGACTGCGTTGAACTAACTGCGAAAACAACCAACTACGTTCAAAACTGACTGTAAATCTTTTGTGTTGAACTCGGTGGAGTCGACTGAACGGAACGGTTATTGTGGTTGAAAGAATACTGTGATCCGAGTGGGGGTTCGCAACTAACTAATGTGGTTGGAGAAACTTCCATTTGCATTGCGGCCTGTGCGGGTGCTTCGTGGGGCTTTTTTTTTTTTCCAGTTTGCACCTCAAGCCTCCGTATTGGTTGCGGCCCTCACGGGTAGGTCTGCAGCCCGGCCCGCACCCTCCCTACAAGTCAGGTTCCAGCTGGCGGGGGGTCCTGAATACTTGGCGGGGGGTCCACGGCCTTACTTCGGGGAAACTTAGCGGGGGGTCCAGTTTTTCCGACCCCCCGCCAAATCGCTGAGTCATCCCACTGTGCATTGACTTTTTTATTATCGTATAATTAATTGAAAAGTTACGACATATATACGGGGTGTATATGTGTAAGGTTGTGCGGTATGTGGCTGATATCGTATCTGCGTTTATAAGGTAGTAGATAGTGGTGTAAGGAAGAGAGTGATGTGTTTTGTTATATGCTTTATATATCTAATAATTATAAGAGTATTAGATGATTGAGGATTAATGTAAGCTTTTAACCGAGCTTCTATATTGAATATAGTTTAAAGGAGGTAGAGCCCTTTAATATACTGGGTATATAACGGTAAATTGAGGATAATATAAGGGGGGTAGGGTTATATCCGATACTAGTACTATAGGTATATATATACTGTATATATATAGTAATATAGAATTTATATATAATATAGTTTAATTCTCTCTTTTAAGTTTATTAAATAACTATATAACTTATTATTCTATTATAGTACTATCTCTACTTATATATACCTAATACTTATAGTATATTAATACTGTTCTATAATTTATTTATAGATAGGTAGGAGTTATCGGATATTATAAGTGAATTAGATTCTAATAACCTATATTGCTAGAGGTTTATATATATATATACCTAGTATATAGAGGGTATAAGTATAGACAATACTATAATAAAGTAGCTTTAGAATATAGATAACTTTATACTGAACCTAATATATTAGACTAGATATAGTCTGGATATAGTAAGAGAGTTTGTTGGAGTAGGTATTCTACCCTTTATTTAATTAGCTATAAACTAATTGCTATTATAGAAGCCTATTTCCTTTATTAGTATATTATAGAAGTTTAGTATTAAGGTTATAGAGTTTGTGGACTATAATATATACCCTGTTTACCCGTATACTGTATTAGGAGGGGTTGTATACTTTGTTTATTTATCTATTCTGTTCGGTAAGGGTAAGGGTATAAGCTTTGAGGAAATCCGAGGTATATTTATAAAGATTAAAGAACTGGTATTTTTTACCCTCTATATACTAGGGATATACTAACCCCCTTTAGATATAGTTCTTACTTAGTTAGCTAGTAAAGGGTAGTCTATAGTATAATATAAGTTGTATATTGTTACTCGGGTAAGGAGCTTAGCCTATATACCCTATATATACTTACTATACTTAGAAGGAATAACGAATTTAATAAGGTATAGTATATATAGTACTATTATAGTGGTATATATCTTTACGAATATGCCGATCCAGAGTTTGTTTAACTATTAGAATAGTATAATAATATTATTGAGATTTAGGTAGGTGAGGCCCTGTAGTGCACACACTAACAGGGCTTACAATGCACTTTGGGGAAGCAATGTACAGTACTATTGCTTAGCTACCAGCAGTAATTACAGGGCCTAGGCCCTATAATAGTGGTTAATTTAGTGGGTAGACTACTATTGTTTTGGGAATGCCTCTGTATTTGCTATCTTAACTACTGGAGTTAGATTTACTACTTCCTTCTTATATACCTACCGACCAGGGTGTAGTGCCGAATTCGGCCTAGTGGTCTTAGTGGTAAAAAACTGAATCCCGTAAAACTCATTTGTATAGGTTTGACTAAAAATGGGCTCACCTGCTCGCAGCCGCACCTAGAAGTGCCTGGGCCCACTTATACTACTACCTTAAAAACCGGTGTAGGGTAGGCCGGTTGGGGCTAAGCGGTGTAGGGTAGGCCGTTTGGGAGCCAACCACCGGTGCAGGGTAGGTTGCTTGGGATGCTAAGAGGTGTAGGGTAGGCCGGTTGGGAACAACCGGGTGCAGGGTAGCTCGCTTGGGAAACCCAGGTGCAGGGTAGGTGCAGGGTAGCTCGATTCGGGAGAAACCAACACTTAGTGAAAAGAAGAACCAACCTTCTTCAAACTAAGATAGCTAGCCACCCAGTAATCGTACCGCCACAACCAAGATACCAGTATATAGCTATAGGCCATACGAATTCAATTACAGTACTGTAGAGCCCCCCAGATGGCCACAGCACTAGTAATCTGAACTCTAGGGTTCAACAAATATAATATTAGAGAACCTTTAGAAAATAAACGAAAGGCTAGGTAAACCTTTAGATATAATACTACCTAAATAGTTAGTTTATAAATAAATAGAAGAGTAAATATACTATCTAACCCTATATACTCCGGATATACTAACCTAGTAGCTAGTACGTTCTAGGTATTCTATATATTATAGGACTGTTATATATACCGTTGCTAGATGTTAGATAACTTACTATTGTGCTATATATATAGCCTAGCGGTCTTCGAATGTAATAGAGTAGGTAGGCTGGTTAGGGATATATATAGTATATACTGACGATATTCTTTAAGGTTACTATAATCGGTTGTAGTCTTAGCTCCGAAGGGCAACTATAGTACAGATTATAGCCTCTAGCTAGAACAACCGCTAGAATTAACATTCTATATCTCAGGCATCTCTATATAGCTGGTATATATAAGGTATAGGAGATATACTTCTAGGTTAGATAGTTAAGTTTAAAATAACTAGTTTATAGTATGTATATATTAAGTATTTAGCTGCTTATATACTGACTATATATAGGGCTTAACTATCTATAGAGCCCTAGGAAGGTAAAGCCTTATAAGTACTATATAACCTTTGATATCTATATACTAAAGGAGTTTGAACGGTTTGGCTACTATATACTAGTATGCTGTAGGTGCTATAATTATTACCTACTACTACCTATTCGGCTATCTTTATAGGTTATTAACGAACTTTATAAGATTATATAGAACTATAATATTACTATATTTACTAGATATATACCTTACCTCCGGACTATATAGGGTATATATACTAATATAGAATTAGGATAATTCTTTATATTCCCCTAGTTCCTAGCTCTACGATCGAAGTATACCTAGCTAAATATCGAAAGTACGATCCTGCCGGTACTTAATATCTAAGACCGGGTTACAGCCTTAATTCGTTGTAAAAGGCTTTTACAGTATCTATAAGGGCTATATCTTACCGGTATATATGCTGTATATACTGGGTATATCTAGTAGATACTAATAGTTTTAGGTATTTATCGAGAGTTTCTCCTAGACTAGGAACGCCTAGTTAAAGAGTATTGGATTTACTATATTAGCTACAGCGAATATCGTCGGCTTGAAGCCGACTAGTAGATTACTATCTGCTGTATATATCCCTAGGCGGAGCACTTCCTATCCTAACGGTTTATTAAGATTAACCTTTTATTTAAAATAGTTAGAGGAAGTATTAAGACCTTCTCTATTATAGGGTTTGATGAAACTATTAATTATAAGTTAAGACTAGGATATATATAGTATATACTAATGTCTTTAGGGAGCGAAACCTTTATCTACGCCTTTATAAATGCTACTAGCTTAGAAATATATTAGGTTATATTTTGTAAGGTATTTAAAGCCTTTACTATAATTACTAGCTATATAGTTAAGTAGTATTATATCTATTATAGTATTGGAATCTATATTGTAGCTATAGATATAGATAGTATATAGGTAAAGGGTATGGATACTATATATACTGTAGATATAGCTAGTTTATAATAATATCTAGGTTTTTAGCGAATTCCTAATATCTATTAATAGAAGTTGAAGGTGGGATGAGTACCTTTAGTATATGTTTATCTTCTGTAAGGTTTATATTAAGTGGAACTTTCGGAAACGATATCTATACTACCTAGGCTTCTAGGAGCTTGAAGGTCTCTAGGAGGTAGTATTAAAGGAGGACTATATTGTATATATAGGCCGTATATATATAAAGTATCCAGACCTTAAACCTTGGTTTAAGGGTAAGAAGAAACCTTGGGTTATCTCTATACTTATATATATAGAATTAAAGATACCTAGTATAAGCTGGGTATATATATATAAGAATATAAACCCTGTTGAGATCTTATATATAGAAGAGAATAATACTATTAGATATAGTTTACTATTACTCTTTATAGTATTAAGGTAAGAGTTAAACAGTATTTATATATATAGAGTATATACTAACCTTAGTAGATTTTAATAGTTTGTACTTTAAAAGGCAAAGGATGTATAGGTATAGTATATGTTTGGTATACCCTCTATATGGCGAAACTAGTCTAACCAAGCTCGAATTTCCAAGTAGGCTCGAAAGTAAGAACAGGGGTTATAGGTATAAGCCTAGTACTATTAGAACTACCTATCTCTACCTATAAATCTAAGGAACCCTTATAATATAAGCGAAAGGGTTATAGCTGCCTAGTATATACTATACCTATCTATACCTCTATTACCGGTTAGTTCCCTAATATCTATACTCCTACTAATCTAACCTACTCTATTAATTATACCTAATATACTAGGAACGA